AAAGGTCAGCTTCTCTCAGCAAACTTCCCACATTCCTCACTCTGAGATTGAACTAGTGCCCTTCCTTTGCATTCCCATAGCTGCGTAAATATACCCCTTCTAGAAGGCATGGACTTATGCATTTGTATTGTGATTGTTGGTTTACTTGCCTACCTCCCCACTACATAGTTAACTCCTTAAAGACAGGAATTGCCTTTCACTTCTATATCCACAGTACTTAAAACAGAGTGCTAACAACCTTGTAATAATATGAAGAATATGAAAAACAATGAAATACGTGGTACCTGTTATTAAAACCTGGGCTAAGTGCTTTTTATAATTCAATAACTGTTAAGTGTCAGCTCATAATTTTGTGTTTGGTGAAACTGTTTTTAACTAAAAATAATATTGTCCAGCTTGTTCGTTCATCTTATTCTCAAGACTTGGCTACAAGTGACTTTGGGATGTTTCCAAAGGAAGAAAGTTTCCTATGTTGAATAATTTCAAAAGAACATGACTCAGGCTCTGAAAGTAATCCAGAAGAGAATTTCTAAAATATTTTGAGATGGAATGGTATTATTGGATTATTTTGATAGGAATAACCCTTAAATGCCTGTGAGAACCACCAGGCGGGGTTAGGTGCCCTTCCTCCATGCTCCCATAGCAACGAACACACACATATCTAGCCTAGCACACGTCACGTGGACGTGAGGAACAGCTCCCCTTGTATCCCTTGGTATTGGTTCCAGGACCTCTGCAGATGCTCAAGACTCACATAAAAATTGTATAGTATAGTCAGCCCTCAGTAACCACCCTTTCACGTCCGCAGAGTCAACTTTGAATCTCTTTCTGATGACCAGTGGTTCTCAATCGGAAGGATAATACACCTGCCTTTCCCTGCAGGGGTGTTTAGGGGAAATTTCTGACTGTCCTAATGATGCGAGGAGGGGGAGTGCCCGTGTCATTTAGTGGCTAGGAGCCAAATATCCTACATACTAATATCTTACAATGCTAAATATGCTAAATATCCTACAATGTACAGGACAGCCCTGGACAACAAAGAATTATCCTACACATGTTCACTAAACTCATTGTGGTACTCATTTCATGATGTATGTAAGTCAAATCATTTTGCTGTACACCTTAAATTGTACAGTGCTATATGTCAAGTATATCTCAGTAAAACTGGAAGAAAAAAAATCCTGCCCCAAATACCCATAGAGACCCCATTAAGAAGTGAACTTTTTTTTTTTAAATCTTTGATTGCCCATTGGTTAGGAGGAGCCCAGCACTAAAACTCACTCTGAACTGAAACTGCGAAGGGGTGGGGACAGGAATACCTAGCTATAGTTTGTAATTATGTGGGCTTAAATAATCAGTACATTACTTTGTGATTACTTTTCATAGTTACTTCTTTATTTCTCTCATATAATTGATGAAAGATTAAGGAGAAGAGAATAAAGTCATTAAATTCAGCTATCTCTTTTTCTTTTTGGGGGGTTGGTCCAGATAAGGTTAATTCTAATCGAAATAGCAAAAGAAAAAAAAAGTACTTTCTTCCGCCCTCCAAGAACTTCCCCAATTTGGCACCACTCAAAGAATTAGACCTTGGCCTGGAATATGTACACGTGATAATGCCATTCCTTCAGGGTCCAAGGTCTTAACTGTTTGAGCTGATAATCCAGGTCACTCTCAGATAATGTGGTTTCTACATTGTATCTAAACTCTTCCAGTTTTAACAGTCTCTGATTCAATACCATTGAAAGTCAATAATATTTTCACAAGTCCTTCCTAAACATACTGATGACACTAAGCTATTTATAAGCATTTATAGTTTTTATAAGAACAGTGCCAGGCCCATGAGCTGAAGTGCAAGAAAGAACTCCAAGGAGAAAGGGGCACAAGATCATTTCAGTCAAATGGGAGATACTTTTTGAACTGCTGGATTTTTGGTTCCTCTAATCAGGATTTTTAGGAAACCAGCTCCCCACCTTTCCCTGGGTTCATTCCTAGTTTTAAAATAACATTGTTTATTGCTTGTTTCTGCTAGAATGTCAACTTCATGAGAGCAACAACCTTGTCAGCCCTATTTGTACTGCATATCCAGTACCTAGAGCTATATTCTATAGAGGCATTCATTAAGTATTTGTCGAATGAACGGATGAATGAAAAAGTAATTTACTACAAGTATAGATTTAATCACTTACTGATAAATGAATACAGTGATAATCATCAACAAAGGGAACATTTAGGTTGAGTGGAGATTATATGACATACTATGAACTCTGTACTGAATTGCAAAGTCATGGGAGGAGTGAGGAGCTGAAACCATCCATATGCATAACATGAAACATAAAAACAGATATCACTGAATTATAAGGAGCACTTAAAAATGGTGCAAAGGTGCAAAGGTCAAGTGAAACTCATTCATCCCTATGTCCAATTGAGGTGAAGAATATCTGGTAAGCTCTCAGCAAAAGTAAGCTCAATTTTAATATATTACCCTGAAAAGCCCAAAGTCCATTAGTTTCAGCAATAATTCTGGACACACTTAAAATATTATTTTACAAGATCCTAATATGCACATTAAGGCACAAGCAAAATGCCTCATAGAAGTAATGTTTAATACTTTACTGATGACATACAAAGAAATTAAAACAAACTCCTTTACATCATGCATGTTTAGTAGGAACCAATAATTATTTCCATTTTACAAAAGGACAAAATAAAGATAAATGAAATATAAGTCAACCATGAAGATCACCTTAAGTCAATACCACACCCTAAATAAAATTTCCATGCAACCAGATAATAGTGAGGGAATTTAAATAAAACTGAAAATCAACTCAAACATTGATAGTATAATTTTAAAACTTCAAATATTTCCTGACTTTAAAATGTCAATGAGAAGTATGGGAAAGACTTGTGAACATGACGTACATTACTCATTGCATAGGCAACCAATTTTTAACCTCTTCCAAGTTCCACAGAGGATTGCAAAAGAAATTCTGTCTCCTGGATCCTTAACTCAAAATCAATATCAAGGGAAGCATTTTAATTTGTGATGGCTTTCAGCAGCAAGTAACAGAAAACATGATAAACTTTTTTTAAGTACCAACAGGTTTGAAGGTAGAGAATGACATCAGTCCAGGAGGCTTTTATCTTCTGCACCTCTACCTTAGCATGCAGTTTTTGCCCTCGTGTTTTTGTTTTGTGGTCATAAAATGGCTGCTCTACCTCTGGCATTGCCCGTGAGTTCCAAGTAGGAAGAAAATGACAAAGGACAAAAGGCATGTGCCAGCTAAAACTTGGAAAGAGATTTATCAGAAGCTTCTATTCAATGACTTTTTGCTAAGGTCTTATTGACCAGAATTTGTCTCACATGACCACGCAGAGGTGCAAGGAAAGCTGTGAAATGCAGTTTTGCTGGCATATTGCCACCTTCTTGGTTTCTATAGGATATGTGCCTAGTAAGCTGTTCCAAGTTAATGCAGTATTGACTATGCAATTGGGAGATACTGAGTAAGAGAGGGTGTGAAACTTATAGGCAAATTTACCCTAATGCTACTGAAGCTTAAACCAGCTTCCCTCACTTACATGGACCCCTTCCAAGACCCTGGGAGATATTTTGGAAATATGTTCACAATGTCATATGTTTTTGTAAAATTTGCACAATTAAAATTGCAATTAATTAATACTACTTTTCCTTTCCACTCTGACTTCCCTACCCCCAGGACACGAGGTGAGTATCACTGGAGTGGCTGTGAGTATTTGGAGGATCAAGCTAAGAGGAAGCTAAATTGAGGACACATTCAGTTTGGATTTAGTGGGATATATTAAGGAGGTTCACGGGCACTTCTGTGTTTAGTTGAGTTACTACATCACAGTGTAGGAATTATTTTCAGAAATATTCCTGCTGCCCACTGTGCTAGTTCACCTGGCACTGGATATGTAGTGGCTTACTAATGACAACATAAAGGTGATGTTGGTGACAAACTGTTCAACAAGTGTTTTCAAGTCAAAGATTATTATGTTAGTCACTGACAGGAAAACCTGAAATGCTCTGAAGTCTCATATATGAGACACTAGGTAGAAGTTTTCCAAAATTGGAAAAATAATCCTAAAATTTTACATGCCATTTCCAATAAGTTATGATGCTGAAAGAAACTTTTCTAAATGGTCAATAATAAAAAACAAGTTTCAAACTTGCTAGAGAAAAGCCTGGATTACCTTTCTATTGTATGTAGTCTTATTTCAAAATTTGAAACCTTCAAATGAAGAAGAAAACAAACAGCATGTGGCAAAAAATATTTTGAAAAAGAAGTATGTCAGACAGTTAATAAAATTTGTGATGTTTTTCTGGGTTTCGTGATTTTCATGGTATTTGTCAGTTTTAAATTTTTAATTTGTTGTGATTCCTCATTTTAAATAGATAATCGCTTTTGTTCCTAATTTTGTATTCTTTCTTCTACCAAGTTCCCCCAACCTCCAAATTGGGTAATTTTCAAGCCCCAAGGAACCTGGTTCTACCCTTTGGGCCTTGGGATCCCAGTAAGCCCCCTAACAAGAAGCAATCTCTAGGGCCCTCCAAACTTAGCTCCACATCTGTTGTGGGAAGAAAGTTCAGGGAGAGTGCCATTCTCCTAAGTCAGAACTAGAACTGGCCAGAGGTGCCTCCTTCACGTGTCCTTTTCCCTGAGCTGCACCCTGAATTCACTTAGATTCTTAGATGAAGGTCACCCTCAGGCATCACACAGCAGCCAGGTGAGAGCCACAGAAAAACAAGAGAATTGAGTTGTAGATTCTCTTACTCTTCCCACTGAAAACTGAACCCGTTAGTCCCACTTAGGAACTCCATTTTGTCATCGACTCATAATAGCTGTCTTTCTACCTGAATGTAAAAAGTGTTCACCAGCATGGCCAACACACTTCCCAAAGGGTGTCCTGTGAAACATCAATCACAAATCTCTGCTCCTTTGGCATTATAAATTGGGGAAATGCTGCATACTAGAATCTTCTCCGCTCGCTTCGGCAGCACATATACTAAAATTGGAACCACACAGAGAGGATTAGCATGGCCCCTGCACAAGGATGACACGCAAAATCATCACACATTCCGTATTTTTTAAACAATATATAAAATAGATAAACAAGGCTCTACTTTATAGCACAGGGAACTATATTAAATACCTTGTAATAACTATAATGAAAAAGAATATGAAAAGGAATATATGTATGTATAACTGAAACATTATGCTGAAATCCAGAAATTAACACAACATTGTAAACCAACTATACGTCCAAAAAAAATTAGAATTTTCTCCAAAGATTCCCAACACACACTAGCATCTTCAAAACTTTCAGGAGTACAGGAGTTGACATTAATTCTGCATTTTCCAATCTAATTTGTCCATAGGATCCTTTTTACCCCAGAATACACCTTGAGAATTGTTGCTCTAAATACATGTACAAGCAGCAGCAGCAGCAGCAGCAGCAGCATGATCATCATTATTTTCATAACACAAGTGGCAAGCCTCCAAAGGGCATTTGGATTTTAAAGATCTCTTGGTAACAAAAGAAACTAATCTGTAACATTGGACTTGAAGGGGTCACAGCCAGAAGGTTAGACATAGCTTAAGACCATAATAGGGTACACGCTTCAAATTCCAACATCTTAACGGCTTTTGCTCTAGCCATTCCTAAGACGGGCCTTGAGCCTGTTCACAAACGAGAGGATTATAATGGAGGATGTTATTTGTTACTTGATTATGTTTCCATGCTATTATTCTCATATTTGGAATTAGTTGGCTAATGGATCAATAATACTTTAACACACGCACTTTTTAGTTTTAGTTACAGATCTATGGAATGCTTAAGATGTAAAGGCTGCTAATTTTCCTTGATTAATAATAAAGCCAATTTAAATCACTAAGAAATCTTGTTTAAATTTGCTCTTTAACACATTCTGCTCAGGTATAAACTTAGACGGTATTGGTAACCACACATTTGGTAAAAGAAGGAAATCTGTGAGCTCAACCATATGCTAGGATGAATCAAGTATATGAGGCCAGTAGCCATGCTTAGAAATATCAACATGAGGAGTGAAAGAAAGGCCTACCGTAGGGGGAGTGGACTCACCAGGACTTCATAAACCTTAGCAAAACCCTCGTGTCTTAAATGACATAAAACACATCTCCATGATGACTTTCTTTTTTTGATTTTATTATTTATTTATTGCTTTAGTAATGCAATTGCCCTGATCTTTTCTCCCTCTTGTGCTAAAAGCAAACCGTTTACATACCAGTGTATGGAAGGCATAGTTGGGGTTCTCCATTGACAAAATGTATTTCTTTAGTTTCTGTTTGTATTAATCTGCAAACACAATGCTCAGGAAATGTAGGAAAATGAGGCTCTTCTATTAGGGCTGCCACATATGGGGTGCAGGCTGTGGACTGTACAAGCTGCAAAACTACACACAGCAGCTCTACCCTGCACTCTTTAGTGGGGCCCTGTGCTCCAACCTTCCACACTAGCAGAAACAAGCTGACTGAAGAAGAGGGGCATGTAAAAGAATCTTAAGAAATTCTGTGATTTTTTTCCCCACACATGAAGCAAAGTTGATCATTCATTATGTAATTTTAAGTTCCACATTCTTTATTATGGAATAAACCAAGTATTGGTGGTTGAGAAAGAAGTTCAGTGAAATAAAATTTGAATAAAAATTAGATGTGCAAGGCATTGTAATTATTTTCTATTAAGAGGAAAAAATATATTTTTTTAATATTAGAGAAAAAGAGGGGGGATTGATGTGCCAGTTTCTTGGCAGCCACTACATGAATCATTATTCTGCTCATTCCTTGCTCTTTTTCTAACACACCCTCTTCCTCAGTCAGTTCAAAATGCAGAATGTCTGTGGCTGGCAAGTGGAGTCAGCAAGAAAATTTCTCTGAGATGCATTTTTATGTATCTGCTGTCAGTAGACATGGAACTAGTGAAATTCTTCCAGCCCTCAACATTAAATGCATGAAACTTTCTTCATAACCCCAAACAGCCTTCTCCCAACAAGATATTATCAGACAAAGAAAACAGCACCTCAGCACAATCTATAGTTAAATATATATCATTTTCCAGGGGGCCATAATTAAATATATCCTCATCTTTCGCTCCTGAAATTAGCAAAGATTGTCCTTGAATAATCAACACTGTTTATTTCATGAGCTATTGTCTTCTTAGATCTCTTTTCAGTTGAGCATATGGATAAATTCCTAAAAAGAACTGCTCTTGTAAGATTTTCTGTTAAGACCCCAATTAGCTCAAAGGCATCATAGCTGCTTTAAGTAAGATGAGGTGGGACTGTTTCATTTCATTTAAATGTAATGTGGAAGTTGTTGCCGCCTTATTAAGAAAACATCAAGTCAATGAGGATTTTTTAAATGCTCTCAAAAATTGACATATATATGTCTATATTACATATATAATATATGGCGGCCAAGTAACTGTCAATTTATATATGTATGTATATATGTCTATGGATCTCCTCACATACATGAATAGAGGTTGTAGCGAAGTAAGGCAAGGGGAATGGATTTCATCTCCGCAGGGTGACCTAGGACATCCCTTTAATCGGCTCCAAAAGACTAAGCAGCCGGCAGCTGAAATACAAAAAAGGTGTGCAAGGAAGGAAGAAGTCTTGAGGCCAATATCAGCCTAGTTTTAAGAGAGACTTCACAATGAATTGGAAAAGAAAGTTTAAGGCTGGCATTGGGGTGGAGGGTAAGGTGGGGGGCTCTGCCTGATCAAACTTAAGCCTTAGTGAAAAAAAAATCCAATTCGACTTGTACGGATAGGGCTCTAAAAACTTACTTGGTGAGATTATTTAATGTTTTGCTTTGTTAAAACTGATTTTCATAGCCTCTTTCAAAGTAGTGGGCATATGGCTAGGATCTGCACCTCACAATTTGGGCCTTTAGTTGGACCAGAAAAACTAAAACATTTAGTTTATTTGCAGGAAAAGTATCTGTGAATTAAAAACAGACTCAGAGTAGTAAACTTTGAAATCTGAACTTTTACAAAGTGATAACATTGTTGTAATAGTGTTATAAGGTGTTCAATTTTATGGTTTAATGGGGGGAAGAGGAAGGGAAGATACATGATAAATTTCTAGGTTTTTAGCAAAGTACTTATACTTTAAATCTTCTTATACTTAACTGGTAATCTCTAACTATGAGAAGATGTCTTAGTTAAAAATGACAGGGAGAAAAAATATTTTTGGAAAAGGAAACTGGTTAAATACCATTTTCCTATAAATAGGATTTTTAAAAAAACTTCACGGTAACGGTCCAGGACTACAGGCACAAGTATTCAACATTCAATAGGATTTAATGTGATGTTTTAAAAGTTTTATCAACAAGCTACCTGCATCAGAATCACTAGGAGGATTTACTAAAATGCAGTTTCTGGGGCCCCACCCCAGACTTTTAAAATTGGGTTAAGTGAGAACTCCAGAATCTGCATTTCAACTAATACCCTCATATGACTCCTAAGGACACTAAACTATGAAATCAAAGTTTCTTGTGTATAGAATAGATACAGTGTACCCATTTTTGTATCTTCAATACCTAGCATGCTGCCTGGCCCAGAGAAGATGCTCAATAAATGTTTATATAAGCAACTTGTATAGGGTGGATGATCTTTCTCCTCTTAATCATAGCTTAAGGCCAGGTGTTTAAAGAAAGTATTCATCTATGCCTTATAGTTACCAGGGGAAAAGAAATACAGAAGAAAAAAGTGAAACAAAGGACGTGGGCTGGCCAACTGCAATTACATTATAAATGTATTTGACGTGCATATTTAATGTGTGATATAAATGCGTAAGCTCAATTAATGTGCTATAAATGTGTCAGCTCAATTAATTAAAGCATGAAACTTCTGCTCAGAGGCACCATTTAAGAAATAGCAATGGATCAACATAACCCCAACATCTCAACTGCAAAAAATATGTAAAATATTTGCATCTTATGATGAGTAGGATAATTTTCAATATAAAAATTTGCACATTTAAGGCTTCAGTGAAAAAATTCAAGAACGAATGTGCCAAGGTAGAGGACTGGAGTGGATTTGGATAGGATGTACAAAAGGGCCATTATAACTATTCAGTTAGCAGGTTGTGAGACAGCTGGGCTGGATACAGTTGGTGGCTGGGTTGGCGGTGATGAAAATGGGAAGTTACACCAGTATCCAAAGATGCACCAGAAATAGGTCTGATTGACTAAAGGATGGAAATTAGAAATGATTACAAATGGTCTTTAAAGCCCTGATGATCAAAAAAATCTGATCCTAATAATTTTTCCCTCCAATCTACAAAAGGAAATGTTTGTTTATTTTAGCTCTTTACTGATTACAACTTAAAAGTCTTTCCTATTTACCTATTGATTTTAAAGTTAATGTACAGCACATTTCTGCAGTTAAGGGTTTTGTTCAACAGATCAAAATGAACAAAGCATGGCTCTGATAGCACCAGAATCAACTTTTTTTGGTAAAATGTAATGTGAATCATTAAAAAATATAAATCAAGTCCTGTCTATCCAGTAAGTTTCTAATGAAAAGGTCATGTGCCCAAATTCATTTTTCAAAATAATGAAAGACTTTTTTTTCAGAAGGGTATCTGTAACTAAGTTGTTTGCTACTTAGAAGTATTTCTCTTAGAAGTAGTCATGTGCATATGTATATTAGTCATGTGCATGTGTATCTTTTAGATCCGTTTTCTAGGCCAGCCCACAAAATCATGTCAGGGTCACTCTGAACTCAAAAATCCCCAGGAGTAGTGAGTCCTTCTGAGTCTTGAGATCTGAAACCAAGAGTTACTCTAAAGTTGGAAGGATCACTCAGCCAGGCGGTCTTCTAGAGGTATGTGTTGGGGGTGGGGCACAAAGCCCCAGATCCAGTGGTCCTCTTTGTTGGGGAAGAAGTTTTCAATCATGGAGAAGGCTCATCCTGCAAATTCAGAATCTGGAAATTTCAGAGCCTAATCTTTTGAAAAGGTTCTACAAGGTGGAAATCGTAGAACATAAGGTTTGGTGTTTTCACATCTTCACGGCACAGAATACCAGTGAACAAATAACCTGAG